GGGTAACCCGCGCAACCCATAGGCGGATACAGACAGTTTGGGATGACTTGACTACTAGATGGGACGACTTACAACCAGTTCACGTTATCTTCTTGGAATTGGCCAAAGCTTTTGATAGCGTCCCATACCGCATTATGCTCGCCAAACTTGCAAACGTGGGTATCCCTTAACCACTCTTTGCTTGGTTTACAACATGCCTAGGGGATAGAGAATTCTGTACTAAAGTAAACAGAATTCGACCAACCTGGAGGAATGCAAGAACAGTAGTTTCTCAAGGAGCGATCCCCGGGCCGCTCCTACTTTTACCGTTCATAAACAACCTCCTCATTAAAATCTCCTCGTCTATCCTCCTGTTTGCCGACGACATCAAAATACGGAGGAGGATGGGTGATGAGGAGGATCCCGGGATAATCCAAAGCGACTTGTTGCAGCTGGAGTCCTGGTCAGCTGCAAGCCGTTTAAGCTTTAACCTGGAGAAGTGTAAGATGATGTATCTTCTCACATCAGAGGCGATGAAAATTAGCTACACCCTTAATAAGTGTGCAGCCACTGGGGTAACCACAGAGAAGAACCCAGGACTAAACTTTTCTGACACACTGGACATTACTGGCAACTATAAGGGGAAGGTAGCAAAGGTGAACGCCATCATGCACTTTCTGAGAAGGCAGCTTGGATTGCTAACCCCAGAATTATTCCTTATGGTATTTAGAACCTATGTTGGACCACACCCAGAGGTGTCCATCACTATAGCGCCTCCACCACTAAAGAGAGACGCAAATACTCCCCAGAAGATAGTTTCGCTTGCCATCTCTAGAAAGTACAAGCTTATCGAATACAGACATATCTCCGGATTCATTTGTTCTCAACATTCGATGTGGAATATTATCTTATAGATTTTATGACTCACTACTGTTTCTCATACTGAGTGGTTATACCCTCATCAATTTTCACCACTGTTGTTCAACGACGTCACTTCTGTTCAATATTTGTGACAAGCAATGTGTAAACAATTGTTTGCTCCAGAAGACTCTGCACGGCACGAAGATTTATTTTCCTAATTTTTTACAGTTTCAATAGGGAAAAGACATTTAGATATTGCCTGTGGAAGTGGCATGTGTTCGTATAATTCCTTAGTCGAGATATATTATTATCGTTATTATTATTAGTAGTGGTAGTACTGAAGAGGGACGCCAATACCCCCTAGAAGTTACGGAGAAGAGTAACAAGGTCGGTTGTCGGACTAACAGGCAAAACATATGTGCAACGCCTTAGACAACTCAACTTGTTTACACTCAGCTATCCAAGAAGACGACGTAATCTATGTAGCAGCCGAAATCCGATAATCTTGGCCTGAATGAGGGGAATAACTAGGCGGTGCCAAGTAACACGAATCTGACTAGTTCCTGCGTTCTACCGTACAGCTTTCGAACTTCTGCGAGTGACGCATAGTCAAAGGACGGATCAAATATCAAAACACGGTGTGTAGTAAATCAGTGGCAGGTTCGTTACAATATCTGTGGCACTATCAAAGCAACAACAAGTTGTATCGAAATTACAAAAATACCTCAACAGTGCCGCTGGGTAACTATACAGTCCAAACGTTCTCGGGTGCAAATACGTACTATACGCCAAAAACTGGTTAAACAAATACAACTGTTAAGTACCTGTCAGTCAATAGGAATATTCCTGACAAACGGGATCAAAACTCTGCACACCAGAATCAAATAAACATGTAGCGACATACACGTCCCCAAAATCATTAGCCTAGGGTTTGACGACTTTCGACATTGATGCTGACCTTGATAGTTTAACTGGACTCGCTAAGCTGAAGGCACCCGGTCAAGCATCCTCGCCATTTGGCACGCTGTCGTGTTACGTTGCATTGCTCGTATTCGACTCTCTAGCCAGTTAGTTGGAACGCATCGGTATTTTGGCATAACCATCCAAATATACTATTCCATCCGACTACGCTATCGTGTTCTTCCTTGGTCTCGTATTCGTGGGTATATAACAAGTTCGAATAATTAGTGATTGGTCTTTGCGTCTGTCAAGTTCGCACCAGGACAAATCCTAAATTGGTGAGCCCGACGTGATCACATATCCCGACCAATAACAAGTATTGAATTGGTGAGCCTGTTCCATTTTATATTTGTTTATTGTTTTCATTTCGATAACATTTATATATCCATTTACTACACTTTCTCATGTCCGACCACACTCCCAAGCTTATTCGTATTAAGCCGACTACGAACACGATCCAACTCGTGCCATATTGGCCAGACAATGCAGAAACATGGTTTCTGTATGCCGAGGCAGATTTTCGAGAACAGGGTGTCTCAGATCCTCATTCTCGATTTCTTGCTGTCATACGGTCACTACCGCGAGAATTAAACAGGTATGTTACAGCAAACATGTTTAATCCTGAAGTAAGTGACCCTTATGCACTTCTAAAGGCCGCACTCTTGAAGAAAAGCGATCTCACAGATCGCCAACGTCTAGACGAATTGCTTCGTAACATCGAGCTAGGCAGCCACTCAGCTACTGAAGTCCTCGCACGCATGCGAGAAGTAATCGGTGCACGAACATTTGACGATGGTTTCTTCCGAGAACTATTTCTCTCGAAACTACCACAACCGGTGCAAACCGTGTTGGTGACACTCCAGTCAGTCCCACTCGACGACCTGGCAGCCTCAGCAGATAAAATACTGGAGATATCCAGCAGACCCGTCTCCAACGTATATTCTATCTGCGACAAACCAGAGCGCCAGGATTCAGAGGTGACCAAGTTGTGCAACTCTGTGAAACGGTTGCTACGATCTCGAAGTCCTAGATCACGTAGCACTTCACAGAAACGCACCTTGGCGCATCGCAGCAAGTCGCGTGGTAGCCCTAAAACGAAACCCAACAGGGTGGAAAACCCTGAATGGTGCTGGTTTCATAACACTTACGGAGATGAAGCCAGAAAATGTCGTAAACCATGCCGTTTTAAGAAGGACACAAACTCGGGAAACGGTCACGCCGGCACGTGCTCACGGCAACCGTAGCCGGCGGAAAAAGCCGTTTGCTCTACGTCACCGACATTAAAACGAAAGTCCGCTACCTCGTCGACACCGGCGCAGAAGTTAGCGTTCTTCCAGCAACGACAAAGGAGCGTCATCACGACCCATCCTTCAATCTTCAAGCAGCCAACGGCAAGGCAATCGCGACATTCGGGAGACGGTATGCCTACCTCAACTTAGGTTTACGCAAACCTATTCACTGGATCTTCCTCCTTGCTGACGTCTCTATGCCCATCATTGGCATAGATTTGCTAAACCATTACGATCTACTCGTAGATGCTCGCCGTCGACGACTGATAGATAGCAACACAAAGTTATCTATTGGCGGCACCACCTATGTAGGTCCGAGTTTAGCCATCGTTAGGACTAAACAATCAGGTGACGCGTCCTACCAAGCAGTTTTGGAGAAATATCCAGAGTTGCAGCAACCGAAGCACACTCTTCCGTGCATAACCAGCAATGTTATGCATCACGTCACAACCACAGGTCCACCTGTGGCATCCAAAGCGCGCCGTTTAGCCCCCGATAAGCTCAAACGGCGAAAAATGAATTCGACCACATGCTCGAACTGGGCATTATCAGACCGTCAAACAGTCCTTGGGCATCGCCATTGCACATGGTTCCCAAAAGGATAGCAACGACTGGCGTCCAACCGGTGATTACCGAAGGCTTAACGCCAAAACAACTCCGAACTGCTACCCGATACCCCAATACAAACCCTCGTACACTTTGCCTTTTTTATATCAATTTTTATTCACCATGTAATGAAACTTTTTTAAAAAAACGGTGAAGATAAGCGTAAATTTTTATTTTTCGATATGTTTATATATAAATAATTCCCATTTTTACGAAACGTTTTCGTGGTATTAAAGACTTTTATTTATATTCCAGGTGCAACGAGCACTGGACGGAACGTCGAAAGGAACAATTTCATTTATTGTATTTTATTTATTTAATCACCACGACACCCTAGAATAAGTTCAGACAACCAGGGGCCACCTCACGCAGTGAGCCCATCGGAAGAGTTTTACCAGTGGAGAAACCACTGGGTTTTTACTTCCGGCTGGTATCGTCTTAGGGTCCTCACGAACCCACTAGGGGGGGAGTGATCTGTAGCGTCATACACTTCCCCAAAATCAATAGCCTAGGGTTTGACGACTTTCGACATTGACGCTGACCTTGATAGTTTAACTGGACTCGCTAAGCTGAAGGCACCCGGTCAAGCATCCTCGCCATTTGGCACGCTGTCGTGTTACGTTGCATGGCTCGTATTCGACTCTAGCCAGTTAGTTGGAAAGCATCGGTATTTTGGCATAACCATCCAAATATACTATCCCATCCGACTACGCTATCGTGTTCTTCCTTGGTCTCGTATTCGTGGGTATATAACAAGTTCGAATAATTAGTGATTTGTCTTTGCGTCTGTCAAGTTTGCACCAGGAGAAATCCTAAATTCCTTTGTCCCAGGTAGGTTGTATTCTACCTCATTTTGGTTGTCTAGCTGCTAATTTATAACCTTGTCCGCCCCTCCAGATTCATAAAATCGACTTAAAACTATTACTGTTTCGGAATTTTCCTTGTGCGAACTTAACAGGCGCAGAGACCAGTCGTTAATTATTCGTTCCTGTTATATGCCCACGAATATGGTGTCAAGGGGGAACACAGTACAGTAGTCTGATGGGATAGTTTATTTGCGAGGTCGTGCCAAAATACTGATGCGTTCGAGCTTGCATCTAACATTCTGCTCTAGGTACCATACTGAGTTATCTCTTCTGAATTGCTTTTTTCCTACACACCAGCTCTTGCTGCGGTACGAAGGCTAGAATGTATCTATTCTATCATATGCTGATGGCCAGGCTAAACTGTCTGGCAACTAGAAGTTTGTCTACTGTTATTGATACTAGGTGATGATTGAAGGTGAAATAACAATATTGACCGCTGCCGGACTGGAACCGACGACCACCGAATTTCTGGCGCGATGCTCTACCAGCTGAGCTACTAGTAGTTCATTTTTTTTCGATCTAAACATACAGTGGGCACACTAAAGGTTATGCACTTTGCATGTTATCAGCCACGACTTTCAGTTATATGCAAAGTAATGCTGTACATTTTGAAAGTCGAATGATAAAGATGGTGCTATGAAATAAATATCTATAAATCAAATGCACTTCCTTGTATTTACTCACCGTTTTGTAGGTTTTAAGGTGTTACTAGTTTAGCCTACCTAACTACTGTTTTGTGTTTCAGTGGACTTTAAACGTACACAGACATTTTGTGTGATGCATAAATAGGAAAATGTTGCATATTCGCAAACATGTTTCTTCTGATCGGTTTGAAGAGCGAGCGATCGGTGTAATGCACACCATAGCATAATGATACCTTTCTAATGGGTTGCTTACAGGTAACAAAATGCTCTAAAGACATAGCTTTCTGGAATTTACGCAGTGTATAATACTATAAAAAAGTGTTTTATCACTTTGTGTACCAAAAATCACTCTATTTTTAATTTTCAAAGAAACACTGGATTAATTTTTAGTAGCTAATTAACTTCATGGTCATTACTAAGTAAATATCGAAATGCTGGTGTGTAGTAACTTAGTTCTTTCCATTTTATTACTTGCGTTTTCGTGATCTATACTAAGTCTGTATGTGTGAAATTCTCTACACATGTATACATTTAATAATCGGCTCACGTTTCCTGAGTTGCCTTTTTGTACCGCATTCTTTGTGCTAGTATTGTATCTAAAGTCAAGCATATCCTGTCTTATGTATTATTAAGTGCGTTGACCAGGTTAATCAAAGGGTGTCTGATGCACTTCTTTTGGAAATTAGGAAAAATCACATTGCTAGCTGTCTGAGATGTGTGCCCTAGTACTTACGTTTGCTTATGATTATCCTTGTATTCTTATCAGTGCACTGAAAAATACCTCTGTTACGTCTATTCTGTCTAGTGATTCTTATTTCAGTGATGTCATTTCAAGCTTCTCCTTGTAGATCAATTGAATGGATCCTAAACTTGATGCAGCTATAGAAGAATGGGTGAAATATGATAAGGTGAATGTTTTTATGCATATGACGTCGTTGTAGAATGAAACCACTTGTTCACAGATTAAGTTAAAGAAGGAAAAGAAACAATGGGATGAGTTGAGAAAGTTATTACTGGAAAGAATGGCTTTCGGAACTGCCGGTGTGTATATTAAAGTACTACTAATGCATTCCAGGCTTACGTGCAAAAATGGGTCCAGGATATTCACAGATGAATGATTTAACTATTATACAAACTACTCAAGTAATAAAAGGCAGTTCCATTTCATGAATATTTTCAGGGTTTACTTAAATACGCGTCGATCGTGTTCCCAAATCTCAAGTCCGATGGGATTACAGTTGGTTATGATGCTCGCCATAACAGCAGAAGGTAATTGTTTGTTTATTCTAAGCTAAGTTGTTTAACACACATAGATGGGCATACATTGTTGCCAACATATTTCTCAATGCTGACTGTAAAGTCTACTTGTTCAAAGATCCATTCCCAACTCCTATGGTGGCGTTTGGTGTTAAACATTTCAAGACTGCCTTAGGTGTTATGGTGACTGCATCACACAATCCAAAGAATGACAATGGTTACAAAGTAAGTTGAGTGCTAATGTTTCAGTTATTTCGTCAAGGTTTACTGGTCAAATGGGTGTCAGATAATCAGTCCTCATGACAAAGGTATATCAGAGTGTATCATTCAAAGTTTAACTCCTCTGGAGTCTTCATGGGATGTGCAATCTGTTGAGACCAATGCTTTGTGTCTAGATCCAATGCCTGACCTTATGGAAACGTACTGTAAATTACAAAAGGCCAAATTATGTTTTACAGAGTAAGATATATTTGTTATATTAGTGCATTGGTAAATTTAGGAGTAGAATAATATTATCTGGATAAACGTGTTCTAGTTTATATTTACAAGCTCTTAAAAGTATTCGTATGTGTTTGAAAAGAGAAGTGTTACGTCTACACTGTTGTTCTTTGTAATTGACTAAACTCATCGTAACCATTGTCTTGATTGCGGATATGTCAGCGAAGATAAGAGTTTGATATTGAATACTGTCTGATGACTTGTTTTATGCATCGCTTTCTTCTTCACGCTGTCGTACATATTTTTACAGCTACAATGAATCCCTAGTCTAAATGATAATTGATTAACAGCTAGTGTTTCTCTCTAGCCTTTTGTACAACTGTGAAAAACGACTGTCAAAAGCAGAAGGTATGGTGTCACATGATTTTTGAGCTTAAGTGTCTTCGTAGCACTGGATTGTGTGTAGTGGAATCACAATGTATGCAATATTGAGGTTAGGCGTAAAGCACTGGTGCTAAGCTCTGAATCGATTCATCTGTCTGTCTAAAGCTAGCGTTCCAGATTAAAGTTTTACTAACTTCACAAACACATATTTACTTTTTTCTTTTGCCTACATTTTGGCACGCTGATCAGACAGGAGAATAAAAATTGTCAGGTGCCTTTTGTGTACACACCTATGCACGGTGTTGGTTGGGAAGCAGTCAAAGCTTTGGTTTCATCTTTTGGATTTCCACCGCTGGAACCAGTCCCAGAACAGGTATGTATTTATTTTAATTTTCTCTATGGGTAATTTAGGGTAGATTGTACCAATTTTTTTAAAAATAATCTCCACATATCAGAGCTGAATTTTGATGAATGTATCTTATTATTTCTTTGAACATTCGATGACAGGCATAAATAAATCATTGTACAAGTTTAACTACATGACACTAGTCTTTGGAAAGTACAAGAGGCTTTATATAATCACTCATATCTAGTTTTACTCGAGAAATCATAAGGACTTCTAAATTTGTGACTGAATATTGCCCATCACGTAGCTGAGATACTTTTAGTAGGAATTAGACCCAGTAAAACATCATTTCTAATTGTTCGGTCTCTCAGACCAGAACGTGAGTTTTATCCGTCTTTAATTCGTTTAAGCAGGAAATAGCAGTAAAATTTACGGGATAAAAAGATTTTATTTTAAAATTATGATAAAAGATGGCTGACCTTATGGAATGGATTTCAAGGTAGAAGTGTTTATCAAGGCGGTGTTTTTCGAAGTAAAACTTACAAGTTCGCTCTCGTTTTCATTCTCACTAAATTTAAGTTAAGCTTGGTGGTAATCAAATCAAGTTATGCAGCTTAAGTATGAAAGGGGATATGACACCTCACAAGTTAAAGTAAGCTAGTAAATCAAGGAAGTGTTATCACTCACCGTAGTTCTATTGGACAGCTGATTTGTGCCGTCTGCTAAGAAGTTCTTTAGTTATTAAAAAAGGGATTTCAAGAACAGTTTGCTCACTAAAGTGCTGCATAACACAGATGAACTGAGAAAGATCAAACTGGAAATGGTTCAGTGAATTAAAATATTTAGTCAAGCACAAATAAAGGCCTGTGTAACCAAATAATATCAAAATATAGATATCAAGCAAGTAGAAAATTGGTTAAACCTATTTTCTATGTTTCTGTTTAAGGAAGTTCTTTTTACAGTAACAAATTTTACAAGTTGTAGTCCGGGGACTTCTTTACCTGTCTATCACTTTTAAAGCTCTTCGTGATGAAAAACCTTCTTTCAGTTTTCTCATACAATTTTAAATATTGTTACACTTAACTTCAAAAAAATACATTTGGTGTTTACTCGAGTCAGGCAATAACTAACTTGCGACTTGTTTTATGAGGGTTTGGTGTCAGATGCTAATTCCACTATCCGCAAAGAAACTCTTTTTTTGTGTTTATTTGATTTAACGTTTGTTTTTGGTCTTAGACTGAAGATGGATAAAATTTAGTTCTTTCCAACTCTTATGTATTAGGTTCTTTTCACCCCGTTTTTCTGTATCGCAGTTAACGTCTTAGAATATTCATCTGTTCAAAGACTTTTCTTATCATGGTTTACTCTTCACCTGATTTATTTCTTAAGGACAAACTTTTCTCTTTACTGAAAAGTGTTCTGACCAATCTATGCTGTGTCTGGAGAGAGGAGAAACCTTATGGTCGAGTTGTTGAGATCTCTGCATACCTTTCATATATAGGTATCTTTCAGTGATACTGTAATTTTTCCTCTAGTTTGGTTGGATGGGCTTGTAACGACTAGCTGTTGATAGGTTTTTGTATAACTTGTAGGTAGGTAAGTAGGTTAGGGATCGCGTAGAGCAGAGTTTGGTGGTGATCACGAGAATCTGTAAGAGAAAAGAGTAAGAGAGAAAAGTGAGTCAACGACTCATCAGGTATGCAGAATGTACTTACATTTGATAAACGATTACTGAAAAACGGTAAAGCTTGATAACGAAGAGGTGAGGCAGTCTAAAAATCGAAACTAAAAGATGAATGAGTAAGATTTCGAACGTGTTACAAGTTAAACCTGTCATGATAATTGTTTTTTCGTAACAAACCGAGGTTCAAGGCTGGTTTGGCTTGTTAAGAGGCTGTGCAGCGTGATTCACATAACAAAAATTGTGTCATCACCTTGTGTGAAGTAATGTGATATTTTATTTATTACCAGGCTCAATTGTAGTTGTTCGAGATAATCCGAAAGAATATCAGCTAAGATAGGTAGATTTTAACCAGACCATTAATAAGAATAGAAGACATGAGCTAATAATTCTGAATTGTGTCTTAGAAATGAAGTGGCTCAATAATTTAGTTTGCGTTGAGCTTTGTACTAAATATTCACTCGCCTGTTGATCGCCAGAGTAGCAAAGGGAATATCAAAAATGTATTAATGTCAACTATATCGTATCTATGAGTTTGTAACTATATACATTTGCAAGAGCTTAGCATTGTTCACTCTAGTGTATGCATAGTAATCACTAGTCGGATTATTGTCGGTTTTCCCGAAATCAGTGTTCGAATAACTTGTAGAGGATTTCGAAGTCGTCAATGCTTAGTTTATTAATAAATTAAGCATATAAATACGAAGTGTAAACACATCCACTTTGATGATGGCTTGTCATGGACTTCTTAATAAAGTTAGTTCTGAGGATGTCGCTAAGCCTGGTGATGAAATGTTCACGACAAAATGCACAAATCTCCGGGAACAACAAGCCACCATCATTCTCATCCTGTGCTATAAATCTTTTCCATCATTTTAGAAATCCAATTTACGACTGCATTCATTTATGTATATTTCTTTTCTTCCCTTTAAAGATAACCCCTGACCCAGATTTTCCAACTGTCGACTATCCTAATCCAGAAGAAGGTCCTTCTGCACTAAATTTAGCTATTAAACATGCGGAATCTGTAAACAGCGCAATTATTTTTGCTAATGATCCAGACGCTGATAGACTAGCAGTTGCGGAAAAACAATCATCGTAAGTGAATCAGATAAGATTACAGTCGTAATTGTGTTTTCGGCAGTTTATTTTCATTTTTGCGTTATCTAGACGCTTACTCGATCCATGATGATACCATGATAGTTTGTTTGTGGTTTTTTGAAAAGTATTGATCATCATCATCATCATGGCATGATAATCTTGTTCTTCACTTCTCAACATGTTAGTCTACAAATCTCATCAGTTTATTTCACAAAAATTATTGGTAAAGTTGGAAGTCATCTTTGTTCGAAGCTTTGTGTCACTGATTGGTTACTTTTTGCTGAATCGAAGGAAACTAACTCAAGCAGTTGTTTAAACGGTATAGTGGAACAATAGGATTGTCTTGTTAATACCAGAACATATGACTGAATTTATTTCTTTACAGCATATAGTTTATATTATCATATCATTACAGTTTATGCATTTCCCTAATGAAATATACGAATATTACACTGGTCCTGAGTTTGTTGTTGATTTACTTTGGAATTATCACGTGTAATAAAAAAAGAAGAAAATTAACGGCAAATATTATTCAAACGGTCGATTTCTTATTTATATTCCCATTTACTTGGGAAATTATTTGTATGTGAAAACTTGCCAAACTATGTTCGGTGTATTTAAAAAACAAACTAATAACGACTGTTATGTTGATTTCGGTGACTAAGAGAGGAATCCAGTACGCGCGTTTCGTCCTGGTGAAACTCGTCGGCTGGATGTACCTGCACCCCAGCAAGTGATGTTCCCACCGGGGCTCGAGTCCGGCACCCTCCGCTTCAAACGCCAGGACGTTACCCATTCAGCAACTGGGGCACAATAGCCACCCCTTGTGCAACGGGTGTCAGAGGTAGAGGAATTCGTCCCTGTAGAGCAACGGGCAGTTACAAGTTTCATTACAACAACTGATACCCGTCGCACAAGAGGTGGCTATCGTGCCCTAGTTGCTTGGTGGATAACTCTCTGGCGTCTGAAGCGATGGGTACTAGGTTTGAGCCTCAGTGAGAACAACACTCACTGGGGTGCAGGTAAATCCAGAAGATGGATCCCAAACAGGACGAAACTCGCGTCCTGGATTCCTCTCCTAGTCACCAAGATCAATATAACATCATGAATATCTGGCGGTATCGAGTCATCCGCATAGGAGCCCATCTGCCAACAGAGGTCACGCAGTTCAACCCTATATTGCAGCGGGAAATTACAAGTATCAAAGAATATGTTCACATTTACTTAAATGTTGTAGCAGTCGATGCCAGTGAACCTAAATCAATTACTAAACAGTAGGTTTATATCTGCCAGTAGAATTTCCGTATAAGATCGCTTGCGAATGTTCAGAGTGGCACGACAATGTAAGCAGGTGTTCAGACAGACAAAGTTTGGAAAACGACAATAAGGCTGGGTAATACTGGAAGATGAAAGCAATAAATAAATAAACTTTGAGTGTGAATAAAGTATTAGTACGAAGACAGTGACAAAAATAAAACGAAAAGGGAGGAAAGGGCATTTAAAAATCCATCAGTAAGGTCATTCATTAAGTTTCCCCTGATCGGAGCAGGAAGAAAGGCTGTACAAATTTCTTCTGAATACAGACCCTCGGATTGTTCATTCGAATTCCTATAGCCTCAGCTCTATGTAAAAGATGAGTTCGAACTTCATCTGGAAGTTTTGGTGTGGGATGCAGTAAATGGCTTGAAACGCTTTCGTTTAGTTCACTCAGTGACCACTCAACTAGATGCGACAAAATAGTCATCCTATAGATTTAACGCATCCTTTTCCCACCTACGAAAGTAGGTGTTTGGTCAATTTGTTCGTTACCTAGTCGTACGCCTGACATAACTGTCTCCATAAGATCAATTAAATAGGTAAATTTTATTTCATTTGAACATTTTTCAATAAACGAACAGTATTTTTTCCAATAATTCCATCTTTGCGTCCTACGCTTATATATCCATGTTGTTTAGTCAAAGAAAAAAATGTCACGGGATCCTTGTTATTTTCAAACCATCAAAATAGTCCCACTAAATGATTAAAAATTAACAAGAGTCATTTCCTGAAGCTGTACATTCCGAGTTATAGTTAAAATGAAAATGTGACTATCAATTGATCATTACAAGGTCATCAGAAATTGTTAACAGAGTCACAAGGAGATAATAACTACAAAGTCATCATTTTTTTCATAGGAATACAATGTGATGTTTGAAAGTTCAATGCTAGGTGGTTATGCAATAAAACGGGTACGAAAAGTAGGACAGTCCTATTGAAATAAACTATTACGGAGTAAGGAAAAGAGGGTGAAAATTAGTAATGTTGATGAATGAAACCAAATTAATAAGGAAAATGATATTATGACCAAAGTAAGGTTAGAGATAACGTGTACCTCGTTTGAACGCAGAGATCGAGCTTGAACTGACGAATTGTCAAAACCTCCACTGTATTCAGGTAACTGTTCCCCAATCCCTTCGAAATGTCTGGTTTGATTTTATAAACGACTCCGAAGTAAGATTCTAGTGGGGCAGAGTGACCAGAGTTAATCAATTGGTCAAGAATTCAGCTGTTAATCGTTTTCCACTTTCCTTTCGATAGCTATACAGAGTATTATTCGGAGATGCGTTTCGATAGAATACACTTTCTGCGGCCTATGAATTTCACTGTCGAAGCAAGTAAGATTCATTTTATCGTTTAGGACAATAATGATAATCGCTTTATTCCAAACAACATATATGATATAATATAGAATTTTCAGCATGGAATACTTCAACAAATTCGCTTTCCGTGCAATATTTTTAAAAGAAATAATTATTACATCTGCATAGTGTTAATAATAACAGCATTGAAGGCATAAGTGTGAAACGGGCAGCTAGTGTTACATTAACATCTGTTCTCGACTCGGAAATTAACACAAAATCGAGCGCAATTTTGGTGGTGGCACTTCAGTCAGCCTGCACAGAAATTCGCAGTCCCATACAGGTATCATAGGAAAAGTAGTGTGGTGTGTTCTTGAGAGCACTTGCAAATCCATTTCCAACAGACGAAATGTTTTTCCTTTGTTTTGCTCTTTACTCGAGAAACGAAAGTTCAAAGACATCCTAAAAATGTGCGAGAGTACATGATGCGTTCAAAAGACACTTAAAAGACTAAAACGAATGGAAAGGGAAGAATTTGATAGAATATAATTAGTGAGAAGTTTTTTCATAGCTCAAGATTTGAGCAAGCTGCCTTAACCTTATCATTTACTTTGAATAACGAATTTCTAAGATAACTGGTTTTGACCATCTAGTCTTGCATAATACATATTATCATTTACATAATTAATTATTGTAAGCTGAATCCCGGTGATATTTCACTATGATATATCTTTTCTCAAGCGAATTCTCGAACTATTCAACAAAACCAACTGACTGTCAGATGAAATCTTACTGTTAGCCCACATTAAGTCCTTGACTAAACAATATGGACCTATAATAGGTGTATAACGTAGGGAAGTTTTTGAAAAGACTACTCTGTAATTATTAAACTATCTTTTTGAATTATAATCAGAACTTCCTTAGAAATAAACTTACTAATTAAGGTTAACATATTGTCAGTTTAAATTTTATTATTTACCACAAATCTAATTTATAGAGGTCGGTGGAAAATTTTCACTGGTAATGAACTTGGAGCTTTGTTTGGTTGGTGGCTGTCTATGCACTGGCAAGAACGTAATTCGAAAGGAAACAGTATGTCATAATTAAATGTGTATGCAATAATTTGAATTGGGTGGTGGTTGGAGATTGAAGGTGAAATGAAAATTTGGACTGTGGCGGGATTCAAACCAGCGACCACCGAGTTTCCGGCCTGATGCTCAATCACCGTAGCTACGAGGTCCGACTGCTGATGAGATTTTTATTTCACTTCAGTCACCATGCGTCAACAGGTGGACCTCGTAGCTAAGTTGGTAGGGCATCGGGCCGGAAACCCGGTAGTCGCTGGTTCGAATCTTGCCACAGTCCAAACTTTCATCTCGCCTTCAATCATCACTCAGTATAAATACTAGTCTGTCAAACTACGGCTATCTCAAATGGCCAAATTGATAATAATTTAAATTGAGATACTTATATGACTTATGAATAGATGTTTACGTAATTTAACCAGAGTATGAATCTATAAATTGAACAAAGTGCATCATGTTACATGACACACTCCTTGTTACTCTTCTGTATTCTAACGAAATTCAACAATTACTATAATTTACTTGGTTGTGGCTACCAGTGGGATCCAAGACACTCGTTTCGTCCTATTTGGGTCTCGTCATCTACATATATATATATATATATATATATATATATATATATATATATATATATATATATATATATATACGTATAATCGTATATTGACTTAGTTTTCCTAGACCCCAACATCGATGAGATAGAATGGGTAAAATAATTTGATATTCAGCCTTCATAGAACTTAACTGGAAACAACTGTATAAAACAAAGTAACGCAAAAATGTTCAACTTGGTATTTTGAAAGAATTGATTAACTTGCAAATAGCCTTCGTTACAATTTGTATCAAAAAGCAAAGCATCAGTGTATAGCAGCTTCACAATCTTTACAAACAGATGGATTCAACTAACTGTCTCATAGAAAGCACAAAGTAATCAAATCCTGCTACAAACACACTGTAGTTCAGTCATTTTCCTGGGATCTAGTTAGAAGTTATGTTGTATGCAACGAACCTAGTTGATGGAGGGAATAATGATGATTGTGGGAAAAGTGAAGCTTTAAACTTTAAACGACTCTATTTCCATCTGTTAGCTGAATACCTACTGCGCACACGATGATTCTTCACCGAAGTGGTTCAGAATGTTCAAAACTAAGATAAGAATTCATGTGATATACTCAATGAAAGATGTATTACATAGGTGAAGATGCTTACTTGCTTTCAGGTTTCGATACTAATTCAGAATAATATTTAATTTTTGGTTCAGTTCCACTTGTACGAAGTGTTAATGTCACACCATTCACGAAATCAAAAGTAATTAATTGACTTGATTTACTGACGGGCAACACCTATAGGAAAGAATAAAGTGAAAAGTAAGCAAAACAACAAGCAAAAGTATATGTTACCAGGAAATTCGAGAGAATCTTTCACCAGTCAATGGTTATAAAGTAATTACGTGCCATAAATAAGTATAAGGAAGCCAAAGATGAGGAAGACGATTCTTAAAACCCCTACTATACTGTAGCTTACTTGGTGGTTAGTATCGTATTCCAGAACATGAGCTTCGTCCTATTTAGGACTCGTCAACTGGATGTTCCTCCACACCAGTGAGTGATATTGTTCCCACTGAGACTCAAACCCAATGCCCATCCTTTTAAACACAAAGGGTTATCTCCAGTAGGCCACTAAAGAACAAAAGCCACCACTTGTGCAACAGGCACCAGTTGTTGTTTGATGCTTACAATTTCCCGCTGCTATACTGGGCCGAACAGCTCGACGTCTGTTGACAGATGAGCGTCTATGCGGAGGCCTCAATACTACCCACAGGTCGAGTAATTCAACCCGGTATAGCAGCAGGAGATAACAAGTATCAATAAACAACCCTTTATTATACCTTATAACGTGTTACTCCTCTATATTCTAACGAAATTCAACAATTACTATAATTTACTTGGTGGTGGCTACCAGTGGGATCCAAGACACTCGTTTCGTCCTATTTGGGTCTCGTCATCTGGGTGTACCTGCATCCCAGTTAGTGGTGGCGTTCCCAATGAGACTTCAACCCTGTGCTCATCGTGCATCATTGACCTGGCTTTCGGATTGATAAGCACTGGGTCTGAGTCTCAGTGGGAACACCATCACTCCCTGCGGTCCAGGCACACCTAGCTGTCGAATGCCAAATAGGACGAAACCCGTGTCCTGGATTCCCTTGCTAGCCACCATCAAGTAAATTGTAGCAATAAATAATTAGGCATCATTGAGGTATCCGCATAGCATTCCGTTTGCCAACAGAGGCTGGTCAATTCGACCCCGCGTAACAAAGGGGAACTACAAGTATCAGAAAATATAATAATTCAATAATTACCATTTGACTATTTTATTTAATTTCATATTGACAGAGAGATGAGGCTATGTGGTTCCGTACATGAGAGTGTAAACTGAGTACAAATCTCCCAAAGTTAGAAATCTTTCCTGTATACAGAGTTTGCTTGTTTACTACAAACTTGTTGGTGTCATCTTTATTACTATTATTTTCCACTGAACAGCTATCTTTAACCAGTTGCTTAAGACATTTACTTGATCATAGATTTTGTCATTCTGAAGGCCTGTCATGATGTTTGTTTAGTGCTAGTGATAGGCACACAATTACACCTCAAATATGAAGCATTTATGCAAAAGAAAACTGATTGCAGCTACGCCTAATCCTTAATTAATTTGGGATAGGCGTATGTTTTTACTGTTTTAGTGTAATGCTGAACTGAATGAACACTGTATTTAAATCGCAACATGTCTTCTCTGAAAATGACTTCAACAGCTTTAGGAGAGGTTGGCAGACAGGATATATGACTGAAAACAATTCTTCGAGAACCCTTTTGAACTTTTATTCTAGATATATCGTCAGTAGCAAAAAGTATCCACTCACTTGTGAAACCGAGCGATAACTGACTACGCTTACTAGATGTTCGAACCATATAGATCTACCATTAGATATCGAAAAAATTCTAATCATGTTTTTAGATAGAATTTATAATTTTCATTACACTGAAGCTAAGTGCAGTTGACCTTTGGTTTAGTTCATATAACGGAAATGCCAAACTGATGCGTCTATATGCATGTAATTACAATTAATTGAAGCCAACGATTAAGTTAATGTTGTTCTTGTAGAATTATTAACTGCTTACGGATACATTTATCCTAGTAATTCTAAACATTTTTACAGAGAATGATTTAATTGCGTAGTTATTTATCCACCGACATATTATATAATTCAAGTATTTTCTAGTAGTAAATTATATATATATATATATATATATATATATATATATATATATATATATATATATATATATATATATATATATATATACCCAATCATTGAAGTTATCCAATACAGGGAAAGCATGCAAACCAGCTACTGAATTATATAAATGGAGACGAAACTAAGGAAGAGGATTTCGAGCTGTTGACTGACCGAGAAAAAGTTGTCAGTATTATGTCTTTACATCCAGTTGGTTATAGAAACTGGAAAGCTGAATGTTCTGAATTCAACATTGCATAGTGCCGGTGGTAGCGCACACTGTTCAAGACTCTCAAAATGATACAGCTATCCTCTGCTTTCTAGTTTCCCTAGTTTTCAGTTACGAATAGTGGCTACTATATTCTTTTCATTGGCTTGGTACTGACCAGGGATTTTGTCCACAGAAATAACTTCCCACACTTACCTATTAACCTAAATTTATATTCATTTAGAGCATTTGGAGTACAGTTTGTTGTACTACTTACCTACACTCCGCACCTTAACCCCTGGTTTTGGTGAGTTAGGTACCGTGTATTTTGATAACAGATTCGTTCTTCTTTTCCAGTTGTGTGCTTTATACTGAGATTCACGGAATCAAATACCCGCACTTAGAAAACTGGTAGATTTCGATGGATGCGTGGGTGTTGGAGAATATGTAGTGATTTCAACCACCAGTAGCCGGGTCATGAAGTCTGTTTGTATTTAGGACGCAAGGTTCACAAGACCCATCAACCAAAGTCGTTCTTACCTTCTATGTTCCCTTGCTAACAGCTCTGTAGCACCGTGTGATACACATTAAGTATCGTTACATATTAGAAATCCCTAGTCAACTAGTGAAGTTGTCGTAGAAGAGATAACCTTTGGTAGTCTGAAGACGTTTTAGTCATTTAGTCCCCAAAGTCAAGTATCTATTCTGATTGAAACTGGTCAGAATAAGCCAAAACTTGTCCAATTCGTGATAAAGTGCTGGAGAATAAAGTACAACTGAGTTCGATGAGAATCTGCTCATCCATCATGATTCTGCAGAACTAGAAGATTATTTCATTGATTCGCCAGAGATATTATTAAACATGATTCACAAAGGTAGTATGTGACTATCACAATATTGTTTTATTTCATCTTCTACATGAATAACAAGTCTATTTACAATGCAGAAAAGTATTAAAACATCTGCTGAATACATATTTATGCGACTGCCTGTGTCTATCTCACCATAACTAGTACACCACAGCTATATTCCCCTATAATGTTGTCACATTGCTTTGCTATATGGATCGCTTCTTATAAGAGGTGCAGCCTTTTTATTTCTTAAATAAAATAAGTAAACATAAGTGAACAAAATTGGCGATAATATGTTGTTGTTTTATTCTCACACAAAGAAAAACAATAATTACTGGTTTAAAATCTGGAAAATGATCATCATAGCCAATTGTTAAATCACGTATCCCATTTATCTGAAATCGTCCAACTTTTTGAGGATAACCTTTAGGACCAGGCTTATTTGACCAATGACGAATACGATCGAACATCTTTACAATTTTCTCTGGTTCATGACAAAAGTAATAGCCATTATTACTAATATGTTGACCATACCTGACAGAAGAGATACGCATAGATGAGAATAGTAAAAAATAATCATGTACACCTTTGTAACAAGCATAATGTAGACTGAACTTATACAATCACGAAGTAATTTATATGAACTATGGTTAAGA